AACTTCAGAAATTGCTTCAGCCCCATTGTGAGAACATTAAACTTTTTAAAGGTTATTTCTTAAAACATGTTGAACTATTCCTGTTTGTAAGTGAAGATCAACACTAGACTCCCATCTGAGTCTGGGTGAACTATACCTAGCTTGGTATAAACACGTGAAGCAGGGGAGTCTCTCTCGTTTCTGTACACAAGCAAATGTAAAGATGACTACAGGCAATTTAAGACAGAGTTGTGTGATGTAAGTATTTCTGGACGCAGTGATGTGCAACTCTCGAAGTCTTGTCACAATGCCCTGCACAGAAACCAAAACTAGCAGCCCACGAGCAGCATGAAAATCTGATCATCAGATGGTTGCACCATGTAACTCCCTTTTGGCGTTGACGGGTGCTTTAATGTTGGACAGAGGCTAGCAGTCTCCCCCTGCTTCTAGTCTTTATGCTAAGCTAGCAGCAGCCTGACTTGTGTATGAAGTACAAAGTACTCATCCTTTTCCTTAATCCATTTCCTATTGTCTTTGCTGCATGCTGACTGAATTGGTCTGAATGGAAACCTGTCTGTGTCTGACCCATCTTTCCCCTCTGCCCCACAGACCAGGGCAACGCAAGCTATGGGAAAACCCCAAGACGAGGGGGGGCACACCAGACCAGCTACAAACCATACTGATGATCACATGGCGGTGCCAGGTATGCCATGGCTTTAACCGCCTTCCTTTTACATACAGTCGCACTGCCCACAGGCAACCCCCACGACATGGCACCATAGTTTAGGTTTTGGCGATAAAACGGCTGGTAAACACTGCAGAGATGTCAGTCTGAACCTGCAAAACACCTGGAGGGACATGCTGAACTGTCTTGTAATATACAGTACTCCAGGTTTTTATGTAAAAATTGCAATACAAAAGTTGTATTTTTAAAGGCTTTAATATAGACAGTGGAGATGCAGCAAGGGACCCCCTGGCCAGACTTGTATTGGTCTCAGTTACTGAAAAGGTATAATCACATTTTTATTAATTTCCCAGAGTCATCCCTTAGAGCAGAACTTTATGTTTTTGGTGTAGTCTGAAGTTACATGAGACCGCAATATTAGCCTGTCTTGGCTCAATTGTTAAATGTCTGTCAGATCAGATGACATAATCATGATACCATAGCTATGCAGGAATTGAGTGAAATTAAGTGAATTTGAAGGAAATTTGTCTGAATGTTTTTCAACAAGCTTTGTCAGTAATTTTAGATTTAATGAGTTTGAGGTGGAAGTGAAATGTGAGTGTGTTGTCGTCCTTCAGGACTCCAGTGATCCGCTGAGACTGACGGCTGGACGGACGCACGGGGCCGGACTCTACCTTTTATGACAGATGACCATTTGTACAGAAAACAACTGAAATGTAACTTCTTTTTTTCCCCCCCTGTCTTTTTTTTTTTTTTTATCATTTTAAGGTTTTACTTTTCCCCTTTGGTGTTCGTTTTTTTTTTTTTTTTTTCTTCCCCTCCACATTTCCATCAATGGAAGTGTAATTTTTACTGTACTTTTTGGTACCTGTTTTGATTCTAATGTATTGTAAGGGTTGTATTTTACATGTTTGCTGGCTTTACAGGTTTAAAATCTTGGCGCTTGTAAAGGAGCTTTTTTGACAAATAAAAAAAACGTTTTCAGTACTTTTTTTTTCTTTTTTTTTCTCCCCCCCACCCCCCTTATGCTTCCAGGTCTGGGTGGAAGTTTAAAAAATTGTTGAATGGGTTTAGGATTAAAATTCAGTTGTCAAATTTAACTTCGATATTGATTTTTCTCTTTGTATTTTGTAGCCACACAAACCTATGATTTGTAATAATGAAGGAAGGTCAAGTTTCTTTTTTTTTTTTTTTTTAACAAGGATATCTGCGTAACTCAAGAACTGTGCCTCACATTCCCACAGATTACATTTGGTATTTACTGGCCACCTTTTTGAGGAACCCAGTGGATCAAGATTAACTAGTTATAATTTCTTCTGACAAACCGCTGCCTCCAAGCTTCTTTCTTCCAGGACATTGAGTTTACCGGGACAAGTAACATCAGCAGGCGTGTGGGGATGTAATGGGGAAACGTGACTCGCCCACATGCAACCGTGGACTTCCTGTTTTAAATATACACTTTTTAAATAAGTAAATTGTTTGAAGTTTCTTTGCTGGTTTAGTTTGTGTTCGTCAAGTGCCACTGGTTTTTAGAAAGAAACGCTCTGAAGTTAAATGTCTGCTTAGTTTTTTCTGGACAGACTTCAGACCACTGGAGTCTTAGTAATAAACATGCTCGTTTGTAATCGTCTGTGTATTTCTAATGCTTACTGTTTTATAAGTCCTAAAAGAATAGAACACAGTAGCCAGCTCTCTGTTTAGAACATCAACACAAAATGTCTAGTCTTAGAGATTAGTGAAATTCACTGAGTAATACAGAAATCCTCAGGAGGCCAGTTTATTCCAAACTACAAGGGCCTTTTGGTCTAAAGGCTGTTGCTCAAAAATCACTAGGGTTCATACTCCTGGGACTCAACATATCAGCACATCCTGGTACTAGTAATACTATTATCTAAACTGGAGGAAATAACTGAATAGAAATGCATTAAAATCTCCTCAGGGGGTGAGGTGGGAGTTGTGGAAACTTTGGCCTGAGGGTGGACGGGTGTAAGGTCAAGGGACACCACAATGAGTCCATCGGCCAAGCCACACATTTAACTCCTGTACAGTTGAGGGCGTGGGGAGAGTGTCTTAAAGCGATTTCTTCTGGTCTTTCAGATTTGCACAGAAAACTGTGGTTCTAGTGAGGGAAGTTGGGCTTAAATAGGATGGTTATAGGTTCAACTGTTGGTCAAGGGAAAACCTACACCTAATTGTTCTGTCTGGGGGGAGAGGGGAATATGAAGAACCATACCAATAAAAGATGGATATGTTTGTCCACCAGGGATAGTTTCTCTTCTAAAGAGCACAGATTGTGCTTCTATATTTTTGTAGGTTGATTTGCACATCGGAGTGAATCTCTTAAGAAATATGTAAATAAGTATATTCACTTTATATCGGGGATAAATGGAAATGTTTCCTGTCAATGTAAACTGAATATATTTTGGTTTGACACTTGAAGACAAAAACACAAGACAAACAAACAATGTAAAGCCAATACCAAGACTAGATTAATCAAAAACACCTGGATTGGCCCTGATCTGAACCCTGTATACCAGTTCAGGACATCTGCACTTTAATTTCATTAAAGACTGATGTACAAATAAGTTCAAACACTGACTGCACAGTTGAGTCAGTGAACCCGCTGAGCATCAACATAACTTATACATCAGTTCAAATAATGACATGAAAACGATCATATCCCGGACAAAACTTAGTGTGACAGAGACACTAGTGTGCATGTGAAGGTTGTGATTATGATGAAATGACTGTTGTATGTGTGTTGGGGTGAGTTTGGGTGAGCTGTCACTACCTCTTCTCTATTTAGCAAACCCTTAAAAAAGGCAAGTAAAAACTACAGTGGCTGAAAAACACAAGGCCCTTTTCTAGATCCAGTGATTGCTTTGCTAAGTCTGGGCTAGTGTAGAAACATGGTGGCTGCCGTGTAAGAGGACCTGTTCTCTCTGTGTAGATATGATTATACATATTCAGGTGATTATACACTAATGAAGACATACTTACGGACCGTATTCGGTTTCTGCCAGTAGATCATCTTAAGTGTTATATTGTCCTAAAAGTTACCTTAGAAACTGAAAATATATATAATTTAGGGGAACAGGACATGTTTACAGGATCATGTAGTCATTGCCCTGGTTTGACATGAAACAGTGCAAGTTCAGAGGAATAAAGCTCTCAGTGTAAACAGTGGGCGGCCCTGAAAAGGGCCTTTGTGTTGCTGGGTGTAACAGCGGGTTTACTTGGAGCTGGTGTACTTGGTCACGGCCTTGGTGCCTTCAGACACGGCGTGCTTGGCCAGCTCACCGGGCAGCAGCAGGCGGACGGCGGTCTGGATCTCCCTGGAGGTGATGGTGGAGCGCTTGTTGTAGTGAGCCAGACGGGAGGACTCGCCGGCGATGCGCTCAAAGATGTCGCTCACGAACGAGTTCATGATCAGCATGGCCTTGGACGAGATGCCGGTGTCGGGGTGGACCTGCTTCAGGACCTTGTACACGTAGATGGCGTAGCTCTCCTTCCTGGTCTTCCTCTTCTTCTTGCCGGTCTTGGAGACGCTCTTAGAGACGGCTTTCTTTGAGCCCTTCTTCGGAGCCTTAACTGGATCAGGCATCTTCAACTTCGTTATAGTTCTCAACGAATAAGTCTGAAGCGATGAGGCGGAACATTTATATGTCCGTGATGCAAACTGAACTGTGCTGTTCCCCATAGAGGATTGGCTGAAATTCAAACAAGACTGAGCATGCGCCACAAGCTAATAATCAGCGGTGATGAAGTATTCAGATCCTTTACTTAAGTAAAAGTACTAATACTACACTAAAAAAAACTTCTGAAAGCATTCAAATTGCTTTTAGTATTATTATGCATAGGACCTAAATGTAAAAACAGGATTTTACTGCTGTGGAGCTCATTTTGAACAATTTGAATAGGACTGCAACTTGTGATTATTTTCACTAGGGATAAATTATTTTCATTTTTCATAAATTTACATTTATTCATTTAGCTGACACTTACAATTACTATTTATGTCAGCGGTCACACATCACTGGAGCAACTAGGGGTTAAGGGTCTTGCTCAGGGACAAATTGGTGGATGGCTTACAGTGGGAATTGAACCCTGGTCTTCCACATCATAGAAAAAAACATCTTATCTACGCACCACCACCACCCCTAAATCAAGATATGCATCAATCACGGTACTAATGATGTATAATTAAACTTGTTTAATTGCACATTTTTAAAAAGATGAGTGCATTAATCTCTCAAATGGCTATTTACCGTGCAAGATTATAGAGTTTGGATCTAGCGATTAAAATGACCTGAAAATAAACCTCTCAACTCTATAATTTTACAAGGTAGATTTATTTGTCACATTACAACAGGTTTAAAAGTGAAACTGACTTAATGTAATGTCCTTCTGCTATGGCCAGAATGAGAGTAACTGAACATATTTCACCCCTACTGTCTGAAATGGTATACATATTTGTAATACAAAAGCCATGGAGAACTTTAATTAATATAAACAGTGTTAAATAGACAGGCATTATTTTACTACACGGATTCCTTGAAAACTAAGTAAAAAGGTTAGACTGAGTTGGTGACATGAAGTCTCTGTGGCATTTTACTATTTTCCATTTATTATTATTTCATCCTTATCTCACAAACCTGCAGTGGCCTATTGCTATCTTAGTGTATTATATGAAATGTTCCTGTACTCAAGTGTAGAAAGAAAGATCAGTAATGTATATTTCAGTGAGTCAAGAAGTAGGCCTATACAGGTATGAGATGATACAGCATTATTCAGAATATTACATTACAACAAACAAAAAAAGACATTTCACCATATTTAAAGCAGCCAAATTGTGAATATCATGATCCAGATTAACAAGCATCAGCATTTAATTTGTTAATAATAATAATAATAATAATAACAACAATGTTAAAATGTATGCATATCCATTTAGGGTAGCCTTATTAAAACATATGAAGGAGGATCAGAGGAAGGAGCTCTTGAGCTTTAGTGAGGTGGCTCTTAAAAGAGCCGTTGTGGTGTAAAGAGGTGTGGGGGGGGTTTAAGCCCTCTCTCCGCGGATGCGTCGGGCCAGCTGGATGTCTTTGGGCATGATGGTGACCCTCTTGGCGTGGATGGCGCACAGGTTGGTGTCCTCGAAGAGGCCGACCAGGTAAGCCTCGCTGGCCTCCTGCAGAGCCATGACGGCGGAGCTCTGGAAGCGCAGGTCGGTCTTGAAGTCCTGAGCGATCTCCCTCACCAGGCGCTGGAAGGGCAGCTTGCGGATCAGCAGCTCGGTGGACTTCTGGTAGCGGCGGATCTCTCGGAGAGCCACGGTACCGGGCCTGTAGCGGTGGGGCTTCTTCACTCCGCCGGTGGCCGGGGCGCTCTTACGGGCAGCCTTGGTGGCCAGCTGCTTCCTGGGAGCTTTTCCTCCGGTGGATTTACGGGCGGTCTGCTTGGTTCTGGCCATCGCGTCTCGTTTCTCTCAACAGGAGAAAAGTGTAGTGAAGAGAAGAGCCGCGCTGCTCTTAAACTGCGGGACCGGCTGCGAAGCGGTGACGCTGCTTCAGACCTCCGGCTCCTGATTGGTGAGGGGCCCCTGCTGGAGCTCAGCACCGCCTAGAGGAGCGACCCACCGCCTGAATCTCCGCCGCTTATTGGCGGAAAATCCCTTCAAACTTTCCGCCTAAACGCAGAGCGGGCCGCCCTCTGCTGCTCTGCAGGAAGCCTCTTTCCTGGTTGGTCTGGAAGAAACCGTCCCGCGCGCTGCGCGGACATATAAAGGAGGGTTTTGGCTGCCGGGGCCACATTTTCTTTGAGTCTCTGCTCTAGAAAGATCACACGATGTCTGGAAGAGGTAAAACCGGAGGCAAAGCCAGAGCAAAGGCAAAGACCCGCTCCTCCCGCGCCGGGCTGCAGTTCCCCGTCGGTCGTGTCCACAGACTGCTGCGTAAAGGAAACTACGCCCAGCGCGTCGGTGCCGGAGCCCCCGTGTACCTGGCGGCGGTGCTGGAGTACCTGACCGCTGAGATCCTGGAGCTGGCCGGAAACGCCGCCCGCGACAACAAGAAGACCAGGATCATCCCCCGTCACCTGCAGCTGGCCGTCCGCAACGACGAGGAGCTCAACAAGCTGCTGGGCGGAGTCACCATCGCTCAGGGCGGCGTGCTGCCCAACATCCAGGCGGTCCTGCTGCCCAAGAAGACCGAGAAGCCCGCCAAGAAGTAAACAACAACAACCACAAACAACACAACGGCTCTTTTAAGAGCCACACATCTCTAACTAAAGAGACACTTCCTGCTGTAACTTATATTTTATGATGATTAAACATGGTTTACCCAACACATCCAAAACATCAAAACTTTTCTTATAGAAGAGGGGACAGTCAAGATGACTTATTTTCTGACAGTAGGGGGGACAACGTTGGTTACGTATTGTAACCCCAGATTCTATGAGTATAGGCGTAGCCCTCTAAGAGCTGTCGCTATTGGGTTCATCCCCGCGCGCATGCGCAGTCCTGAAGATTTCTTTCGCGCCCATGTGCCGTGCACGGGCCTCTCTCAGGTCCGCAATTTAGGTATATAATACCGGCGAGACCAGAGATCTGCTCCCAAGAGGTCAGCTTTTTTTCTTCAGCCGACGCTGGTGGGACCAGTCGGGCCCGCAGCTTAGAGGGCTACGCCTATACTCATAGAATCTGGGGTTACAATACGTAACCAACGTTCTATTTCGTATAGGCTTCGCCCTCTAAGAGCTGTCGCTATTGGGATAAGGGCGAAGCCAGATGTAGTCAATGCCCACTGGACCCCCAGCGGTCATAAGCATTAACACACCAGCTCACAGTACCCTAATCACACAATGCATGATAGAGACCAAAATGTAGGTCAGTGTTTCCGTCTGGTCTCGAACCAGGTACCTTCGGCATAGAAGGCGAGCGTCTGATCCATTACGCTACGGAAACTGAGATTCGCAGCCATCCGCATTAGACCAGATAACAGGATGGCTGAACGCATCACTCCCTGCCTCCCACCTGCTGCTGTGAGGAAATGGAACGACAGTTACGCATTGTAACCAGTCCCAACAACGAGCAGAGCAGGCGGGAGGATAGGACAACACACACGCATCCCGGCAACGGGGGGTGTGTGTGCGCACGAGAACGCCCAGAGTACAGGCACACACAGACGCACACTGCGGCTTATGTTGAGGGAACAGTAAGGACGGTTGTTACGCATTGTGGCAGTCCAACTGGAGCGCAACTAAGACAGAAGGAGCCCCAACAGCCCGTGGCAAGAGGAGCCTTACCGGCTCCTTTACAGGGAAGCCTATGTGTGCGTAACGTGTCCCGAGCCAGCAGCGTCGCGCCTGGTCTCCAGAACATTCAGTACCGAGTGCGTTAGAGAAAACCCCGATGCATCGCGTAAATAGAAGCGGATAAAGGGGCAGGGTGAAGCCCATGATGCCGCTGTGCAAATATCCTCCACAGCCATCCCGCTGAACAGCGCTGTGGAGGAGGACACGGCTCTTGTCGAGTGCGCACGGATGCCGGGTGGGGGGTCCTCCCCAGCCGTAACGTACGCCTGAGTGATGGCCTCACACAGCCAATGAGCCAACCGTTGTTTTGACAGAGACTTGCCTCGTGAATGCTCTCTGTAGTGAACAAACAGCTGTTGAGTTTTTCTGAGGGCAGCCGTGCGCTCTACATAATGAGACAACGCGCGCACCGGGCAGAGACGATGAGATGCTTCCTCCGCCTCGTTTCGATGAGGAGGAGGGAAAAAACCTTCCAGGGAAATAATCCGTGACCTGAAGGAGCTAGTTATAACCTTGGGCATGAACGCTGGGTTCGGCCTCAAGGTGGCGGAGCTCCCGTCAGCTCTGATAGCGAGGCAGGATGGAGCGACTGAGAGAGCGCACAGATCGCTCACCCTCTTAGCAGAGGTCAGTGCCAAAAGGAGGGCTGTCTTCAGAGACAGCAGTCTGAGAGAAGTTTGCGGCAGTGGCTCAAAGGGGGGATTGCTCAGAGCGCGCAGCACAAGCGGTAAATCCCACTGTGGCGCCAAGGGGCGCGTGACAGGCCGCTGCCTTCTCACTCCTCTTAAAAAACGCTTAACCAGCGGATGCGCAAAAACCGATCTCTCTCCAAAGCCCTCGTGGCAGGAAGAGATGGCCGCCACGTACGATTTGACTGTGGATAAAGCCAGATTTCTGTCCACCAGCAGCTGGAGGAAGGACAGAACAAGAGATAAGGGACACGAGACGGGGTCCGTGTCTCTTTCCACACACCAGTGCTGAAAAGCGGACCACTTTGCTCTATAAGAAGCAGTAGTGGAGGGAGCCCTAGCGCCTTGGATGGTGCGCACCACATTAGGGGGCAATCCTAATCTTTCAAGGCGCTCCCGTTCAGGGGCCAAGCCCACAAACGCTGACCTATCACTGGGAAGTGTAGGATGGCTCCGTCCAGCTGTGAGAGCGCGTCTCTGCGCCACGGCAGCTGCCACGGTTTCCCCGACAGCAGCTGAATCATCACTGGAAACCATGATGCGCTCGTGCGTTCTGGTGCCACCAGAATCACTGTTAGGAGCTCCTCCTGAATGCGCGCCAGGAGGCGGGGAATCAGAGGAACCGGGGGGAAAGCATAAAGGAGCGTTCTGGGCCACGGGCTGTGTGAGAAGGCGTCCACGCCCAGTGGCGGCTCGTCCCGTGCGTTCAGTGAGAACCACAGTGCGCACTGTGCGTTTTCTCGTGAGGCGAACAGATCTATCTCTGACTCCCCGAATCTGTCCCACAGTTCCTGAGTAAGAGTGGAATTCAGTCTCCACTCGTTCTGAGACGGACCGCCGCGTGACATGAGGTCCGCGGCTCGGTTCTGAACACCGGGAATGTGGAGGGCTCTGATAGAGCGCAGGTTCGCGTGGGCCCACAGCAGCAGGCTCCTGGCTATCTCTAGTAGCCGAGCCGAGCGGACGCCGCCCTGACGGTTTATGTAAGCCGCGGCTGTCATGTTGTCTGTTCTCACCAGCACATGTTTGTCTCTCAGGAGTGGAGCAAAGTGTTTCAGCACTTTCAGCACTGTGGACAGCTCCAGGCAGTTTATGTGGAGAGATGGAGGCTGTGGCCATTTCCCTCCCACCACGTGAGAATGGCACATCCCGCCCCAGCCAATGAGAGACGCGTCCGTGTACACTGTGACATGTGACGTCACTTTCCCGAGGGGGGACCCCGCTGAAAGCACGTGAGGGGATTTCCAGTACGTCAGGTCTGACTGTACTGAGGGGGGAACGGACAGCAGGCGTCTTTTGTGCTTTATGGGATCGAGGCGGAGACGGCCGAACCATCTCTGGATTTTCCTCATGTGGAGGAGACCCAGAGGGACCACCACGTGACTGGCCGACATCATGCCCAGTAGACGCATCACAGACAAAGCCGTTACCACTTTGTGCGGAGCGATGCGTGAAAGCAGAGAGCTGAGAGCTTCCAGCCTGGCTGGAGATAATTTGGCTCTCATGCGGGCTGAGTCCAGATGCACTCCCAGATAGATTATTGACTGGGAGGGGAGAGGAGAGCTCTTCTGCCAGTTTATGGCAAAACCCAGGCGGGACAGGTGTTTCACGAGCTTCATCGTGTGTAGCGCACAGCTCTCCCTGGACGATGCCATGACAATCAAGTCGTCCAGGTAAAACAACACTCTGACGCCCGACCTGCGCAGCGGCTCCAGCGCTGTCTCCACACATTTGGAGAACGTGCGCGGGGCCAGAGAATAGCCGAAAGGCAGGCGGTTGTATTGAAACTGGGCTCCTCTGAAAGAGAAACGCAGGAATTTCCTGTGTCTGGGGATGATGGGGACATGGAAATAAGCGTCCTTTAGGTCGATGGACGCGAACCAATCCCCGGGACGTACACATTCCAATACGTGCCTGACTGAGAGCATGTGGAACGGCCTCCTCATTATGCATTTGTTGAAGGAGGAGAGATCCAGGATCGGCCTCATTCCGCCCGTTTTCTTGGGCACCAGGAAGTAACGGGAGTAAAAGCCCTCGTTCTCCTCGCCCCGCGGGACTTTTGAAATCGCTCCTTTGCTCAGGAGCTCTGTTATTTCTGCCATCAGAGCAGATGTCTCTGACTGCGATGACATGACGGTCTCCAGCACCCCGCTGAAAGGAGGAGGGGGGCTGGCGAATTGGAGAGTGTAACCCTTCTTTATTAATCTCGCCATCCACTCGTTCATGGGCAGATTTTGCCACGCGCAGCAACGCTCTGAAAGCGGGCGAGCAAAAATCTGGGGGGCCTCTGTGGACATTTCTGACAGCCAGAGAAGAGCCCTCTCCGCCGCCGTGTGAGCTGCAGAGCCGCTCGACACGGCCCATGGGAGGGCTGAGTTGAAAGGGCTGCGGCGGCGATAGTGTGAAACACTCGGGCCGCTCATTCTCAGTGTCAGACTCGTGCCACGGTGAAAACCCTCCACTAACACACACTGAAGGGTGAGAGGTGGGGAGGCCGCAGAGAGGCAGGGAGTGCGGGTGGGCTGTTGTGTTTATCTGATGTGAATGTTTTTCACTCATGATAATATGAGAGAGGGACAGCAGCGGCTCAACAACTGACGCAGCGTGTGCGTGCGCAGCGGAGCTTGCTTGTGTGTGGGAGACGTGCGTTTCATCAGCTGCAGGAAGCTCAGGAGAGAGAGGGGCAGGCTGACTGTTAGGAACATGCTCTTTATGGACGTTTGGTTGGCTCTGAAAAGAGCCGTTGTGTCCGGCTGTTCCGGGAAGAAAACACACGTCCCCCGCGTCCCGTCAATACCTCCGCTGTTTGCGGGGAGGCTCGGCGGGGGGGTTGGACCAGGAGCAAGCCGCTCGCCTGTTCTTGACTGCAGGGCGGCGCTGTGAAGAGGGAGCAGCGGCCGCCGGGGAGCCCGGGGGGCCTCGGCTGGGGCCGGCGGAGGCGCAGCAGTGGCCGCGGGGCGCCTCGGCCTGGGGCGGGAGTCGCGGCGATCACGCCGGGAGCCCTGTGAGCGCCGTGGGTGTTGAGGTGGCGCTCTGCTCCACGCTGTGTGCCGCTTCACCTTGTCCGCCTCGTCCGAAGCTTGCTGCATGTGTGTGATTGCATCCTGGAGGAGCGGCCCAAACAGCCCATCGGGGCTGATGGGGCCGTCCAGCAACTCCTTCCTGATCTGCTCCGGCAGATCGGACATGTGCAGCCACATGTTGCGTTGCAGCACTGTCATCCACGCCATAATCCGGGACTGGCCGACCGCCGCCGCTGTGGCGAGCGTCAAAATGGCGGCCGCGGCTTTCCCAAACTCGCTGGCGAGCTCGGGGGAAAGGGCGTCGGGCTGAGCAGCGACAGATGACATGGACGAGGCCAGCAGCGATATGTTGTTGATGGCGGCTGTTACCTGGGCGGCGCACTGGTGGGAGCGGTCCGTGACTCGAGCCGTTACCTGGTCGCGGGCAGAGGGCGGAGTCGGCTTCCTCCTGCCGAAAAAAGGTGGCTTTAGGCAGCAGGATGGCTGCCAGGCTGGGCTCCAGAGGTGGGACAGAGGGAAAACCACGGTCAGTGAGGCCCTCGACCTTCGTGAAGTTGACGTACCTCGCCACCGGCGCCTTCAGCTTCCCAGGCTCGGCCCCCGCTTCGGAGAGAAAAGGCTGAAGCGGTGGAAAAAGGGGCCACACAGGAACCTGTTTGGACGCTTGCTCTGGCTGGTAGATGTCGCCGAGCATGGCGCTAGGAGCAGGTGCAGGAGGCTCAGCAGGCATCGGCACGCCCTTGCGCTCAGCAGCCGTCTTGATTATGTCGGGGAGATCCCGGAGGAGAGCCCCGCAGGACGGCAAGCTGGAAGGCGGAAGTGGAGCAGGAGCCAGCGACGCCGCCTTCTCATCCAAGTCAAACTCCAGATCTTCCAGCGGGAAGAGGGGAGAGCCTGGCGGGGAGCCAGCAATGGAGGGAGCAGAGTCAGAGGACTCGAGCCCTGCATCGCCAGCAGTCCCGCCGGCGAGGTCCGCCGTGAAGCTAACTGGCTTAGCCCAGCTAGCTTCGTCGTCCTCCTCCTCCTGTCGCTTCTCCTCCACGGGCAGCTGTGCGCAGTAGGGGCACGAGGCCCGGGGAGTCAGAGCCAGGCCAGCGTGCTGGGGACCGAGGCAGGTCTCGCAGCGGGCGTGGAGATCAAACCCCATGATGTAGCCGGCGTGGCAGGACGGGCAGAGGCGGACTCCTTCCGAGCGGCGGACCTCAACGGTAGAGCGGTGAGTAGCCATAGGAAAAGCTCTTTAGGCAGGAAAATTGCTCTTTAGATGCTACTCTGCTCTCCGAAATGACTGCTATGCAGCGCTGAAGAAAAAAGGGGAGCAGATCTCTGGTCTCGCCGGTATTATATACCTAAATTGCGGACCTGAGAGAGGCCCGTGCACGGCACATGGGCGCGAAAGAAATCTTCAGGACTGCGCATGCGCGCGGGGATGAACCCAATAGCGACAGCTCTTAGAGGGCGAAGCCTATACGAAATAGAACACAATCACTGTTCATCAGTGTATAGCTGATAACAATTAAAGAGCAGAATAATAAAAAAAAAAGCATCTATTGTTATCTAATATTTATATGAATTCCAAAAGAGTCAGTTGTTTTTACTTGCTGCTTTATGGATTTGCTAAACAGAAGAGGTAGTGACAGCTCACCCCGACACACATACAACACTTATACATCAGTTCAAATAATGACATGAAAACGATCATATCCCGGACAAAACTTACAGTGTAACAGAGACACTAGTGTGCATGTGAAGGTTGTGATTATGATGAAATGACTGTTATGCTGATGCCAGTGTCATGTCAGTGTTTGAACGTTTTTGTACATCAGTCTTTAAAGCCAATACCAAGACTAGATTAATCAAAAACACCTGGATTGGCCCTGATCTGAACCCTGTATACCAGTTCAGGACATCTGCACTTTAATTTCATTACATTGTTTACATTTGTCTTGTGTTTTTGTCTTCAAGTGTCCAAAACCAAAATATATTCAGTTTACATTGACAGGAAACAGTCTGTTATTAACCAATTAATAGATAACTGTTTCCACACTAATATTGTATACACATGTTTATATACTTTACGTACTGTATATACACTGTACATTAGTGCAGTATATATACATATACATTTAGTTTACTGCTCTTTTTTTCCTCAGGAATGTCCGTTTGGACATTATTGTGAATTATTCATAATTCAGCTGTGTTTGCCAACAAAATATCTTGAGAACATTACTGTTACTGTCTTTACTTGATCAGGTAGTAATAGTGATTTATCAAAATGTAAATTCATATGCTGAGCTGTACATTTACACATCTTCACGTCATACAAGTCTGTAGCACAACAGAAAATTAGTGTCAGCATGTTCCTTGATTCTTCGCTTTGCCGTGAAGCACTTTGTGTTTAATGCAAGTACTGTGCAAAAAAAAAAAAAGGTTTAAGTCAATTCCACTTTTACCAGCAGCAGCAAGTAAAAGAAGCATATACAACTTTTTCTCAACTATTAGAAATGTTCTTTATTGTCTGACTCAATGTTGAAGACTTGCTGCACATTAGTCATGTTGAGCTGCTCATCCTGAACTTCCCCACAGACGAGTTCCACTCACATCCACTGCAGACTGAATCACTGAGATATTTAAGAGCTTGTTTGGTCCTACAGCCTCTTAATACAACAATAAAATAATAAATAAAGCATTTGTTAGATGTTGGGGGAAAATATATGGCTGAAACCTCCAGTATTCCTTTTTAATTATTAATATAAAATTGTTTTAATGTGCTTTCCCCCCCACCATGTTCTTAAATCCTAATATAACGATCAGTGTATGATGTGCTGTTAATGAGTGTGAACAGGCTCTTTGAGGAAGATGTGGTGGCTCTTAAAAGAGCCTTTTGTTGGGACATTGTTGGTCTTGAAGCAGCTCACTTCTTCTTGGCTGCAGCCTTCTTCACTTTGGGCTTGGCGGCCTTCTTGACGGGGGTCTTCTTGGCTGCGGGGGCCTTCTTCACCACCTTCTTGGGGCTCTTGGTAGCTTTCTTGGGGCTCTTGGCCGCCTTCTTGGCCGCCGCGGGCTTCTTGACCTTCTTGGGAGACTTCTTGGCGGCTGCCGGCTTCTTGGCTGCCGCTGCTTTGGGCTTTTTGGCCGCTGCGGGTTTCTTGGCTGCGGGCTTCTTGGCTTTAGGAGCGGCTTTCTTCACCGCCTTCTTGGGCTTGGTCTCCGCCTTCTTGTTGATCTTGAAGGAGCCCGAGGCCCCGGTCCCCTTGGTCTGGACCAGAGTCCCCTTCACCACCAGGCTCTTGATGGCGGTCTTGACGCGGGCCTTGTTCTTCTCCACATCGTAGCCTCCGGCAGCCAGAGCCTTCTTCAGGGCGGCCGCGGACACGCCGCTCCGCTCCTTGGACGCGGACACGGCCTTAACGATGAGCTCCCCGACGCTGGGACCAGCCTTCTTCGGCTTGGACACCTTCTTCTTGGCCGCTTTGGCCGGAGCGGCGACGGCGGGGGCGGCTGGAGCTACTTCTGCCATGTTCTGCTTGTTTCTCCTCACGATAACACGAGAGTCTGAATGATGGAGGCTCCGAGCAGCAGGCTGCACTTAAACACACCGTGAGAACCGTGGAGACTCAGCCCAGCTCGCGGCCGCTCGGTGCGGGCTGAACGCCGCCACTTGTGTTTTCTCTGCACCGATAAAAGGCTCCGAACTAAATGTGGGAGAAGAGCCGCAGGCTGCCGGTGAAGGAGCCGGTAGCGGACTGGTGTCTCTTCATACTGAAGTCATGTTCAGCTCTGATGCGCTCTGCGTTTGGTTTGCGGAGCCTCCAAACTTCACACATTCACCGTCGCGACCGGCGCTTATCAGCTGCTTTTCACTCCCATTTCTCTCCTAAAATGTTTTAAAATGCATCAGAGCTCCATCAAAAGCAGTTTTCCAGCGGACCCACATGTTTGTTCAGGCGCTCAAAGTAAAAACAAGCATCTGTTGATGATCAGTTTCTAATAAATCGAGTTTTTCTGGGAGCAGCAAACACACTGATGATGGAGGTTCAGCCTGACTTCCTGTCAGAGCTGCTCACTGTGGACGTTTCTGCTGCTGAGGACAACTTGTGTCTAGAACACCTTTTATATTCATGCTTCTACTGATAAATCAATAAAATAACTATAGTTAGTCACCGAATAAAATAACTATGGTTGTATTAACTATGTGTGAGCTAAGTATACAGATGAGAAGGTCTACAGAGTCTTTTACTCAAATGTGTTTCAGTTTCAGTTTTGTCCCTAATTTTACAGCACAGTGATGTTCTATAATGTTAAACTCTTTGGAAAATATTTCCCTAACTTCTGAATTTATAAAATTACAGAACTTTTCTTCTCATCCCCCAAATCCCAAATATTCTGGACTCAACTTTTGATTCAGATTTCAGATCAGTCACTTCTACATTACATTACATTAATTATTTAGCGAGAGTCAATTTAGCCAAAGTCAAACCAAAACTAAATTTTCAGTGGCAATTAAATATTAATGTCCATTACAATGGACTCTGAGTCTCAAAGGACTTTAAAGATCCCCTCCAGGCATGTTTTTAAGACATTTAGAAATAACCTGCTTTGAAAAATGATTTGCATCTCATGTGTATTATTTTGTAATTTTTTTTCCCTCATTGAAAATGAATGCAAGCGCATTGTTTCTTATTTAGCAGAGTTTATCTGTTGGACACAAGATGTCTCCTACTTCAATGAAAAGTCCATTCTCACTGGAAGCTTCATATTTCCACATCAAGCTTGTTGTGTCAAGTTCCATACTGGACAATGATTGACTCCAAACTAAAACTCAGTGAGTTTAAATAAACTTTCTGTAGTTATCAGATGAACGAACATGTCAGCAAATAAATTCTGTACAGTGAAGGTATGATTAAGATGTATCTTAAAGGTACAACTGCACAGAAGGTCCATTGTAATAGAAGGAAAGGATGCAGTGGAGACGGGTAGGTCTCATAATCCGAGACAGAATTTAATTTCCAAGATTAATCTACAAGTAAAATTCAATATTCTTTGACATTATAGTCACACATTTATGAGAGAAACTTCACTTTGAAAGGCTGTAACATCACACACACACACCTCTGCCATGTAGTATGCATGCATTGGAAAGTTATATTAAACGCAATCAGATTTAGCAGTGAGGAAATACCGCTCAGTTTAGCCCACAATCAATACCATGCACCTTAGAGACTTTGCCTTGGATTGGGCATATTCAGAAGAAAACAGAGTGATTATTGATTCTTTTTCGTATAGGCTTCGCCCTCTAAGAGCTGTCGCTACTGGGTTCGTCCCCGCGTGCTTGCGCAGTCCTGAAGATTTCTTTCGCGCCCATGTGCCGTGCACGGGCCTCTCTCAGGTCCGCAAATTGGGCATATAATACCGGCGAGACCAGAGATCTGCTCCCCTTTTTTCTTCAGTGCTGCATAGCAGTCACTTCGGAGAGCAGAGTAGCATCTAAAGAGCAGTTTCTCCTACTAAAGAGCTTTTCCTATGGCTACTCACCGCTCTACCGTGAAGGAGTCCGCCTCTGCCCGTCCTGCCACGCCGGCTACATCATAGGGTTTGATCTCCACGTCCGCTGCGAGACCTGCCTCGGTTCTCAGCACGCTGGCCTGGCTCTGACTCCCGGGCCTCGTGTCCCTACTGCGCACAGCTGCCCGTGGAGGAGAAGCGACAGGAGGAGGAGGTTGACGAAGCTAGCTGGGCTAAGCCAGTTAGCTTCACGGTGGACCTCGCCGGCGGGACTGCCGGCGATGCAGGGCTTGAGTCCTCTGACTCTGCTCCCTCCATAGCTGGCTCCCCGCCAGGCTCTCCCCTCTTCCCGCTGGAAGACCTGGAGTTTGATTTCGAGTTAGATAAGAAGGCGGCGTCGCTAGCTCCTGCTCCACTTCCGCCTTCCAGCTTGCCGTCCTGCGGGGCTCTCTTCCGGGATATCCCCGACATAATCGAGACGGCTGCTGAGCACAAGGGCGTGCCGATGCCTGCTGAGCCTCCTGCACCTGCTCCTAGCGCCATGCTCGGTGACATCTACCAGGGCCGAAGCGGTGGAAAAATGGGCCACACGGGGAGCGGTCGGGGAAACCGTGGCAGCTGCCGTGGTGCAGAGACGCACTTTCACAACTGGACGGCGCCATCCTACACTTCCCAGTGATAGGTCAGGGTTTAGATTAGGATTGTCCCCTAATATAGTGCGCACCATCCAAGGCGCTAGGGCTCCCTCCACTACTGCTTCTTTTAGAGCAAAGTGGTCCGCCTTTCAGCACTGGTGTGTGGAAAGAGACACGGATCCCGTCTTGTGTCCCTTATCTCATGTTCTGTCCTTCCTCCAGCTGCTGGTGGACAGAAATCTGGCTTTATCCACAGTCAAATCAAACGTGGCGGCCATCTCATCCGCATCCGCTGGTTCAGCGTTTTTGAAGAGGAGTGAGAAGGCAGCGGCTTGTCACGCGCCCCTTGGCGCCACAGTGGGATTTACCGCTTGTGCTGCGCGCTCTGAGCAATCCCCCCATTGAGCCACTGCCGCAAACTTCTCTCAGACTGCTGTCTCTGAAGACAGCCCTCCTTTTGGCACTGACCTCTGCTAAGTGGGTGAGCATTTTTCTTCTTATAAATTTCACACTTTGATTTTTAAGATTTTTTAGATCAACCCTCCTCACCCCGGCTCCCTATTTTTTGGACACGTAAAATAGTCAATCTAAATAGCCCATGTGAAAACACTTAGGAGAATTCAATTATAGACTACAGATGGGCTACATCTAAGGAACTATCCCGTTAATTAATTAAGACTTCTCCCTAAAATCACCGAGGCTGCAGGGCTCGCTGCCTGAACGTAATGCTGTTGTGTTCAGGGCGGTATTATAGTTTTTACTTCACTACAAATATTTGAGATCTTCATTAATAGTTACTTATGTAATAGTTTTGTTATAATTTAAACTACCCAATATATGTGTGTGTGTGTGTGTGTGTGTGTGTGTGTGTGTGTGTGTGTGTGTGTATATATATATATGTGTGTGTGTTTGTACAAGCAGAGCTGAAATGATTAGTTTTGGACAAATTGGCAACTATATTTAAGTTAAGTTAATAGGCCAAACTTTTCTCATATGTGAGAAGTTTAACATTTTCCTTTATTGATTTCCTTTTATTTGTACTATTTTTGAGGTTTTGACTCTTGGTTGGACATGAAAAGCATTGTGAAATTGCCGCTTTGGGCTCTTGGTGGCACTTCTTACTATTTTCAGAATTTTTACAAACCAGACAACCAGATAAATAATGATATAACGAAATAATCATTGTGTGCAGCCGATACAAAATAGTTCAAAATGAGCTCCACCGTAAGAACTACAACAAAAAAATCCTGTTGTCACAGGAGATATTTCATAGTTTGGTATTAGTACTTTTATTGAATTAAAGTATCTGAATACTTTCTCCACCGCTAAAATAAATAAACTTAAATCTGTGTTACTGTGTTTATTTTTTGACCTTCACATCTTTATTCCCTTCTCACAGAGATGTTTATTATTAATTATTTCTTGTGTGGCGCATGCGCAGTCTTGTTTAAATCTCAGCCAATCCTGTACGAGGAACAGCACAGTCTTATTTGCATCACGGACATATAAATGTTCCGCCTCATCGCTTCAGACTTATTCGTTGAGAACTATAACGAAGTTGAAGATGCCTGATCCAGTTAAGGCTCCGAAGAAGGGCTCAAAGAAAGCCGTCTCTAAGAGCGTCTCCAAGACCGGCAAGAAGAAGAGGAAGACCAGGAAGGAGAGCTACGCCATCTACGTGTACAAGGTCCTGAAGCAGGTCCACCCCGACACCGGCATCTCGTCCAAGGCCATGCTGATCATGAACTCGTTCGTGAGCGACATCTTTGAGCGCATCGCCGGCGAGTCCTCCCGTCTGGCTCACTACAACAAGCGCTCCACCATCACCTCCAGGGAGATCCAGACCGCCGTCCGCCTGCTGCTGCCCGGTGAGCTGGCCAAGCACGCCGTGTCTGAAGGCACCAAGGCCGTGACCAAGTACACCAGCTCCAAGTAAACCCGCTGTTACACCAGCAACACAAAAGGCCCTTTTCAGGGCCACCCACTGTTTACACTGAGAGCTTTATTCCTACTGAAAGTGTTTTATTACCATCATCTTGCACTCAAATGTCTGGCAATAGAAGTGAGTTCTCAACAGACTCCCAATAAGCCTATTGATCTACTTATGTCTTGGACAGCAGTTGTAATCAGAGGGAATGAGTACAATATTAACATGCCCTTAACCCACTGGTTTCTAGTGTTGGCAAGTTAGTCTAGATTTGTTCACTCAAATCTCGTTTATTAAAATTAACTTTTTTTTTTTTGAGTCATTTCGTTCATTTGACCTAGGTGGCTGTTGTGATGCTGCAGCCCTCTAGTTGGTGGTTTAAAAAAAAAAAAAACAGAAGGCTGCCTGGCTTGCTTTATTTTACAAAGCAAAATGCACAAATTCACCTTCATTACTGTATATCATCATTATATAAACCCCCCTGGGCCCACAACCAAATTCAAACTATGTAAAAACCACAGAAATATGTTGTCTATATGTAATCCTCTACTCTGACTAAATCCTTCCATTTTCACAATCTTTCCCGAGTAGTATACAACCAGACCAGCCATGTAAAGGCTTATGTACACTGCTCAAAAAAAATAAAGGGAACACTTAAACAACACAATGTAACTCCAAGTCAATCACACTCCTGTGAAATCAGACTGTCCACTTGGGAAGCAACACTGATTGACAATCAATTTCACATACTGTTGTGCAAATGGAATAGACAACAACTGGAAATTATAGGCAATTAGCAAGACACCCCCAATAAAGAAGGAGTGGTTCTGCAGGTGGTGACATCACCACATCTCAGTTCCTATGCTTCCTGGCTGATGTTTTGGTCACTTTTGAATGCTGGCGGTGCTTTCACTCTAG